AAAAGAAAGAAATCGTCACTCCTTGGGAAATCTGGCCCATTGTCTTTGAGGAACAGCGTTGAGTGCAGAAAACATGCTGCTAGCGATTAGACACAACCTGTGTGCTTACATCCATTAGCAATGGGGAAGAAAATTAGTTGTGAATGAATGTATCACTTGTGAGACTTGAAAGAACCCACAGCAACTAGCGACAACATCTGAAAGTCTTTAGATCTGCAGATTGAGGGACTTAGTAAAAGATAACCCAACTGATTAAAGTCTTCACAGGAAATGATAAAGAAGAATAGCCATCCTTTTCCAGTCAGTAACGGTTACTTGGATGAGAATGACATGTCTATAATTTGTATTAGTCATTAGCACTGTAGTACTTGAGTCTTGCTGAAATAAAAACATTTTTTCAAAGCTTCCCAACTTGCTTTCATCAGGACAATTCAGAAGAAATACCAAAGTAAAGAGAATAGAACATTTCTATTATATGAGATGAAAGTCCTGGTTAGTTCACAAGGGGACAACTTGGTAGAGGTATTGCCATGAAGGATAAAGACTTGGCAGATGAACCAAACGGATATTTTGCCTCAGACTTCACTCGAGAGGATACAAGTAGCATCCTGAAATAGTTGTAAATCAGGAATTGAAAGGGAGGGAGGAACTCAACAAAATTATTATTACCAGGGAAGTAGTACTGAGTGAATTGTTGGAACTGTGAGTTGACAAGTCCCCAGGACCTGATGGATTTCAGTTTAATGTGAAACCGTGCAGAAGTAGCCAGTGAGGTAGTTGATGCATTGGTTTAAATTTTCCTAAACTCATTAAATTCAGGGAAGGTATCTTCAGGTTGGAAAATAGCTAATGAAATCCTTTATTCAAAAAGGGAGGCAGGCAGAAAGCAGCTAACTACAGGCCAGTGAACATCTGTCATAGGGAAAATGTTAGAAACTATTTTGAAAGACATTATAGCAGGGCACTTCGGTAAATTCAAGGTGATTAGGCAGAGCCAACATGATTTTGTCAAAATGAAATCAAGTTTAACTAATTTATTGGAGTTCTTTGAAGAAGCATGTTTTGCTCTTCATTGAGGAAACCAGTGGATGGATTGTACTTAGATTTCGAAAAGGCATTTGATAAGGTGCCACATCATAGGTTATTGTCGAAAATAGAAGTTGATGGTGTAAGGTGTAACTTTAAAGCCTATGTTCCTTGCCATCAGTTATCTCTTCTAGATTGCTTCACACACCAGTCTACCTCTGACAGCAGCATTTAAGTTGTCTCTGAATTTGTGGAAATCTTCTAACTTCTTTAAAATTGCTGCAGACTGGGAGACATAGTCACTGTCAGGCTGGTTGCATGTGGGGAATTTGAACCTTTTTGGCAATCATCAACACTTTTGGTAACAAAAAATGGTTCTGTAGGATTCCTACTATTTCTCCATAAGTGTTGTAACCTGGTTTCTTTGGCTGGTTAAAAGTTGTCCCCCTCATAATATTCAGGAATGCTGGGACAACTATATCTGCTTCAATTTTGTGAGCTTGAACAAAATAATGGAATCTCTCGGTGTCAGCTTTTCATCGTACAGAGTCTGACGGCATCAACATTTCCCACCATTCTTTTATACCTAGAGGGGCCTCAATCTTAGCACTGCCTCACAACTTCCCATTTAACACAAGGTATTCTAGGGACTATCTGTTTCTTTCCGAGTCTACATCCCTTTCTCAAAACAGTTCCCTCCATGTAGGGTATTCATTATTCAGTGTTCCTTCAGGGTACAACTTCTTTTGTACTGTTCACCTCTTCCCTGGAGTGATTTTATTTTTGTTGACTGTACCTGCTTCGGTATAGGAATGGTATGTTTTTGATTTCTTTTCTTTCTTTTATTGAAGTGCCTCGGATATCTTCAGCAAGGGCTATGTTTGTTATTTTTTTTTAACAGATCCAGTGGATTGACTTTGTGGGCCTCAAAGCAGTTTTTATCCTCTTCGTCAGTTTCCTTCTTTTATTAAGCTGCCAGAAGGAGCAAACAGCCAAAGTGTTAAAATGCAGTAGCTTTATTATGGAGATGTTCACTGTACAGGCAGCAAGGTTATACTCAACAGTTTGCTGCCCAAAATGGGCAATGGTATCTTCATTATGTCACATGATCTGATTCTTAAATTGACAGTCTACTGAACTTACACAAATATACAAGGAATTTCCACCCAACCCACCTAACTCCTCATTCTCCTTTCAGCCCCCAAGCATGGTCAACATGCCCGATATATTAGTCCACTGTCCCCATACTGAAGCCGAATTACCCTCTCATATTACCCTTTCCCTCCCATTCTTTATTCTCTTTCCCTCTCACACTTTGAGTTGGCCCCTTCATAATTGTTATCCCCCTGAATCCCAGCATGCTGCCTCCAATCCCCACACTGAGTTCTCCAGTTTCCCACCCTCAACAATGACCCCTGGGAATGTCCCTTTGACTCTCAGTGGACAGATCCCCACAACTGACTGTGGCTAATCCCCTGGAACAACTTGGAGGACAGTCCTGAAAGGTGAGTGTTCACATCCCTGACTGATCCCTGTGAAACTTCCCCACTAACTTTTGTGACTCTCCGCACTGGTGGGGCTACATCCACACGCCTAACTGTGGCCCACTCCCTGGGGTGTAGAAGGTCAGATGCTCTGGCCTGACCATGTCAAATAGCCAACTGACTGTGCTGAAGCCCTCAGACTGATACTGGGATCAGCTCTTGACTTACTGCATTGGTACCCCTGACTGAAGGCTGTGTCCATTACCTGGACTGAAAACTATACCCTTTAGACTTTAAGGTGTGGCCATGTAGTTGAACCACATGCAGTGTGTTAGGCGCATGTTCAGCTGGCACATGTGAAGGTGTGAGACTGATGTCACATGGCGCAGTAACAGTAATATGTCCACTCTCTTGACTGATCACTAGCTGACAAGCAGGGCATGCAGCCTGGCTTTGTATCTGCACTAAAAGCCAAGACAAGACAGAAGCACTCACACGCATTAAGCTCTGGCTGAGGGGGGGATGTGTAAAAAGGCAAGGCGAGGCAGAAATGCTGTGAGCATTAAATTAGGCACAAAGTGAATGAGCACGAAGAGAGTGAGTGAGGAGTACTGCCAGATGCTGCAGTTCAATCCATGTACTGCCTGGTAGTCCCTGCACAGTGTCCTGGTGGCAGCATTGCAATGAAAGGTGCCAGCGTGCCCCATAAGGCAGCACTGAAATGTAAAACCTTACAGTAAGTGGATCAGAGATGTGTCATGATGTTGTGGTGATGCTGGTACATATCTGACGCCAAGGTCTGCATCTTGCAGGCAGTCACTGCCCATGAAGTGTGCCCTGAGATGTTGGTATTCCAGGTCAAGGTCTAGACCCACAAGTGGTGAGTACCCGCTGAGGGGAGGCGAAGGCCTAGTGGTATTATCGGTGGACTGTTAATCCAGAGACCCAGATAATGTGACAGCCTAAAGATGACCATGAAACCATTGTCAATTATCAGGAAAAACCCATCTTGTTCACTAATGTCCTTTAGGGAAGGAAACTGCCATCTTTACCTAGTCTGGCCTACATGTGACTCCAGATCCGCAGCAATGTGGTTGACACTTAACTGCCCTCTGGTTAATAAATGCTGGCCTAGCTGGTGAATGAATAATGAAAGAGATGGAGTCACAATCTGACTTTCATCTTAGGAATTGTCATTGCCATTGTTTACCTGGTCAGTGGCAGAATGGGAAACTGCAGGAAAATTATACTGACGATAATAATCCCTGGATCATCTGGACAATAAGGACACCTACATCAGACTACAGCTACACAATTATCCTCTCCAGACTGATCTCAAAGCTCCAAGACCTAGGCCTTGGCTCCACCCTCTGCAACTGGATCCTCAGCTTTCTGACCCACCGACTGTAATTAGTGAGGATAGGTAACTGCACCTCCTCCACAATAACACTCAACACTGGAGCCCCCCCTAAAGATGCATTCTCAGCCCCCTACTCTACTCCCTGTACACCCACAACCATGTTGCCAAATTCCATACAAATGCCATCTACAAATTTGCTGATGACCCCACCATGGTAGGACGGATATCAAATAATGAAGAGTCAGAATGCAGAAAGGAGGTAGAGGGCTTGGTGACGTGGTGCAATGAGAACAATCTGTCTCTCAATGTTGGCAAAACCAAAGAACTGATCATTGACTTCAGAAAGAAAGGAGGAGAACATGCCCCCAAATACATCAACGGAACTGAGGTTGAGAGGGTTGAGAGTGTCAAGTTCCTAGGAGTGACGGTAACTGACAATCTGACCTGGACCTCCCATGTAGATGCAATGGTCAAGAAGGCACAACAACGCCTCTTCTTCCTTAGGTGGCTCAGGAAATTTGGCTTGTCCATAATGTCCTTCACTAATTTCTACAGATGCACCATTGAAAGCATACTGTCAGGGTACTTACGGCCTGGTATGGCAACTGCTCTGCCCAGGACCATAAAAAA